GGGCGCTCTTCGAGGACCCTTACTCCTCCCGTGCCGCCAGGGTAAGCGCCGCCGGCCGGCGCTCCCAGCGGGGGCTGGGGAGGCCGAGGGGCTGCTGGGGTCCCCCGAGCGGGAGCCGGCATCGCGGGGAAGCTCGCCCCGCTTGGGGTGTGCGTGCAGCAGTGATGCTGTGGTGGGCCACTGCAAGGGGGGACGTCGGTCCACGTGGGGTGGCGATGCTTGTCCCCTCCACATCTGCAGGCAATGTCAGGCAGCACGGGGGTCCCGCCGTGCCGGCATCCTTCCCGTGGGAGTGTACGGGGGTGAGGTGGAAGCTGTGCCCCGAGAAGCCTGCAAGGAAGCCATAGTCACCCCTGGCCCGTGTGGGGGTGTAGAGGGGGTGACTCACTGGTGGACCTGTTTGTGTGTGGGTGTGAGCAGGAGCAGCCCCCAGGCATCCTCATCCACCCTGAGCGCCTGCCTGAAGGGTGCTTTTGGGGCCGGGGCAGCTGGCCTGAGGTCTTGGGCTTAGGGTCAGGTGGTGACAGTGACACAGGAGAGTGACCTCAGTCCTTTCTGAGCTTTGCTCTGTCTGTGCTCTTGGGTGATCCTGGCTCAACGAAGTAAATGTGACAGAGGGTCACCCTGGCTCTTCCTCCATTGATTTCTCAGGGTGACCCTGACTAGCTCAGTGACTGAGGGTCTGGGGACAAGACAGTAAGTGATCCTACTGACTTTCTCTCACTTAGATAGGGATTTTAGGTTTTCATTCTCACTATTTTACACTTTGATGACTTGGATTTTGGTTCTGTCTTTTCATTGCAGTTGTCAGTGGTGATGCGGGTTCGCTCTCTAACTCAGGGCTTTGGGGTGAACAAATGGTTGTAATTCCTTTGAGAGAAACATGCACTGGTCTCTCATTTAACCAGAAAAACAACCACCAGCAAATCCTCCCTGCAATACAGGACAAAGGACTCGTAACAGGAAATGTTTGATTATAAAATGGCAATAAGTATTTTGTAGTGTATTTATCAGGATTTCCACAAAGCATTCAGAGCTAAACCTCATTCTGCAGAAAGCGTGGTTATGGTGGGTATAATCTCTTAATCAGTTCCACTTACTCCGCTGGCAGTCTCATAGATGTGCACATAAGTGTGTGGTTTAGTGACTTCAGGAAGTTCATGGAGTTGTACCCCATGGCATGCTGCAGTTTCTGCCCACTCACCCTATGAGCCTACTGAGGTAAGTTAAACAGAAAGTAAAGGTCCTCACAGTTATTACTGTCACTTGCAGAGTGCCAACGTTGTTTATGTTTTTGAAGGTTGCCTACCAGTATGTCTTCCCTCAACAGCTGGCTCCAGTTGATTCTTAAAATATGTTTTTAATAAAGAATGGGTTCTGAAGAAAAGCTACCAGAAGTGTCTCTTTGCTCATCAGTGACACATCCACATCTCGCACCTCAGCTGTCTGAATCCCAAAGAAACTTTCTCTGTCAGTTACCTGACAGACTGTGGTGTATGCCGTGATTGCCCTGCAGGTTTTCTTTCACCTACTGTCTTGAGGAAAGTTGCTGACAGTGTCAAAACTGCAGCTTTTGTGACAGAGAATCTTCCTGCTCAACTTTGCTGGAGAACTGAGAAGTACGGAGTAAATGTTAAGTGGAAGATACCAGGAGAAATAGGAGGGTAGGCGTGCTGTTGTGCCCTGGAGTTGTAGTTGGGTTTTTAGCCCAGCCTTTGACAGAACCTGTAGGTACTTGATTTCCAAATTTTCCATCTGTTCTAGGTCATCCTGAACCATTAGTGACTTGTGTGAAGATATTTCAAGTTTGCAAAATGAATACTGTAATTAACACTGTAGTAGGAAACTGCAACACAGCAATATAAATCTCTCAGAAGATAGAGTATTTACCTTTCTAAACTGCTTTTAAAGATTGTATTCTGATTTCAAACCTGGGCAGCCAGAGTAAGGCAGTGTCAGAACCATAACAACCGCGTCTAAATCTGTATTTTCATTTTCTGAAGATCTGTACTTGATCTTGCAGGTAGGGAGAAAATTTTGAGAATTTCTGGTGAGTTTTAAAGCTTTAAAGTGAATTTTTATTTAAGGACTCGCATGCACTTAGTAAGCGCTCTCAAACACAGTAATTTAAGGTGATGGTAACCTTCATTTGGAACCGAGACATTATGTTTTTCCACACCTGAAACAAGAGCCCTTATTTTCTGAGTATTCTGGCAAATACACTCTTGTTTTATGTCAGCTGAGATGATGACTAACTCTAAAAACATTTGAGTGAAGTCCTGGGCTTACGGAAATCAAGACAAAACTCTGTGAACATCAATCTCTGCCTCACAGTGTTAGTTACTGACTCATACATCACTTAGATTATGGTGGGGCTGCTCAGTGGTAAACTTCCCTAAGAACTGTGGTAATTATTTTCTTTTAGCATTACTGATTTAGGTTCACTAGTGTCTTTTTTGGGAATTGTGATGTTGATAAAAATGGGGTATTTTCTGTTAATGAAATGGTACTTAATATTTGTGATTTTCTTTATTCAAAAGTGTGATCTCTAAAAATAGAAATTTATAGAAATTCAAATATAAGTTGCCATGGTAACCTCTTCAGGGATAGTGCACGCACAAGATTATTCTAGCAAGACCATCCAGTGATGTTATATAAATAGTGGAACTAGTTTGTTGACAAGAAGGTTTACTTTAGTCGAGATTCTAAAAAAATTCAACTTCTAGTGCGTGCAATCTGGGAGCCAGATAGCGACATCTACTAAACATGGGGCTTGTAAATATGAAATGTAATCCATGTATATATGATTGCTTTGAAACCTGCAACACTTTCCTTTGCTTCTTGAGTTCAGGAGTTAGGTCTGAATGTTATTTCTGTCTTCATATTATCGTTTCGGATTTCATAGACCGTGAAATGAAATTAAAGAGTGCAGCCGTACTCCTTTCACTCCACTCGTAATAGAATGATCATTCACAAAAGGCTGTTTGACACAATGCTGTTATGTAGATATGGAAATCTACTGGCATAAGGTGCTGTCATAGGAGGAGGAGTGCTGGGTGACTGAATCTTTGTGCGTTGGTTTAAATGTCTCTGAAACAGACACCTAATTCTTGCCTGACTGAAATGTGTGCACTGTTTTGTTGGTTAATATCTGTAAGTGATTTTGGTGTCCAGCGGCTTCTAAGTGCCGGGTACTTGTTTGCTTCTGTGAAAAAGAAAAAAAACAACATCTAAGTGAAATTTAGTAAAAAAAACCACCTAAGTGGTTCGTAAGGAAGCACAAGAGGCAATATTAAGTGCTGAGTTCAAAAAGTGTCTGCAGATGTCCAGCAGGAACTGGAATGCCAGTGCTCATCTCAAATATCATATTTCAAAGTAATTACCTCTAAAGCATTTTTACTTTTGAATAATAGTTGACAAATGATGCTGTTTAAAGAAGTAATTAGTATTTGTGATTGATTTATCCTTGGGATTATGGATTACTCCTGTACCGAGTGCAGGAATGCAAAAACGGCCCTGAAATTCACCAGATCCGTAGCTATATATCCTTAATGTTTGAGAAGACTAAATCTGTTCATGGGTAAGGGGGCAGCCTCTGCAATGTGAGGTACTTAAGCAGTGCAGGACTCAGCATGGCCCAGGGCACTTGAGCCCTCACTGCCGTTTGCAGCAGCTAAAGGCAATTTACACAGCCCCCTTGCTATGGTTTTTATATCTAGGAAATATCATAATTACTTGGTTTACAGGGAAATAGAAATCCTAATTAGCAAGTATTTGTCAAGTTTTGTGTAAGTATATATTCGCTGCTGTGCAAATAGACCCACAAAAGCCTTGCAGTCTAAGCATCAAGATACATCTTTCAAGTATTCTTAAAAATACTGATGGTGCTTCATAATGACATGGGGAGTTGTATTTGAGCAGTGGGTGGTATTTTTGGAGGGTAATAAAGTTCCCCTTTACTGCTTTTATATGGTGTTAAATTGTCAGAGATTCCTTTCAGTGACCCATTGCATCAGCACCAGCTTTGAACATTAGGTGATGTGAAGAATCAGCTGAAATGAGTGGGATGGGAGAGGGGAAAAATATGATTTTACAGATTCCCTCGAGAGGCTAAAGATACAGAAATTTATGTTGAAGAACATTCTTATCAAAGATAACTTTTGTCTTTATTTGGTGATTTGCTTATGTTTTCTCCAGGTGCCTAGATACCTGTTTTGATACCTGTCAAGAAAGCCTTGATTTAGGAAGCCTGTCATGTACTATGGTGAATGACTGAAGTGAGTTATATTTTTAGGGCTTTGCCTGTTCTGATGCAAGACAGGTTTTATTTTTGGTGGAAACAACACTGCTGCAGTCGTCTGAAATACTGTGAATGGAGTGGTGAGGTACATTAATCTCAGAATGTATGTTTGCAGTTTAATAGTGAATAGCAAAGGTTTGCTTTCTTAACTGATAGGAAGCCCTTTAATACATAAATGGAAATCTTGACTCTGTCTTTTATTTAACGAGGAAAGCTGGTATATTTTAGATTTTACCATTCAATTATTAGTTAGGCAGTCATCTGTCTGAAAATGGCACAAAGAAAATGGTTAAGGTTGATGCTTCAAAGAGGGTATTCCTTTTGTTGATAATCAAAGCACAGAATTTATTTACAAGTAGAGAAATAGTCAATTACATTAAACTGGTGAAAAACAGTCATTCTGCTTGAAGCGTTTATACTACGGGAGCTGTCTAGAAAAGACACATCAAGATGTGTTCTTAATGACAAGAGTCATAATGCATTGCCATTAAAGATATTCATAGACTCTGTAGCTTCATGTGTACATGAGCTGACTAAATCACATTATACTTCTTATTAATTTACTCTGGCATATTGGCTTTTGAAAGTCCTAATTGAAAATTCTAGCTTGACACATGATGTATAATCAACTAGCTTGATCTACCCTAAGTGTAGATGGTCTCTGATGGTACTGACATATCAGTGAGGTAAAATCAGCAAGATTTCTGCCTTCCTAACTTCTGCCTCTTCCTCTACAGCTGTTCTGCCTGATGCTGCTAGTGTTTCCATGGAAACAAGCCAGCTCTTCGCTTCCTCTTCCCATTGAAAACAGCCTTCTCACTGTCACTTATTCATCTGGGAAAAGGATTTTGTCATGGCTCTGACATAAATGACACAGAGATGATCTGTCCTATCATTTCAGAAATAGATGCTATTAGGTATGTGCTCGTGCATACAGCCAGATTGTCTTTCAGTGACTAAAATAATTTGGTTAATGGACTTAGGTTGAATTTGCTTTGGTGTAACTGGAAGTGGAAATCAGCTAATTAGACACAGCCCAATATAGTAACAGTGTGAGAACTATTTTTAATTGAGAAATCTGGCAGACAATGTTCTCTTTTTTATGTAGTTCATATAGAATGTAGTATTTGTCATGTTTGTTTACAGTGATAAAACACTTAAATGGTTTGCTTTGAGGATGAAAATTTATCCTCAAACTGATTAAGATGGTGGTGGGAGGAATAGCTCACAACTTGGGTTGAATATTGTATAGGTTTCAGCACTGCTGTCAGATGAGGAATCATGTTATCATGTACATCATGTGATGCAGTCAGAATATGAAATAAGCGATGCAAGAAAACTGATATCTTCAAGGTCCTTTTATTCTTAAGGTGTTTGGTACCTAGTCCAAAATAAATATATCAATCAATACCCTGTGAGTAAATCAGCATTTTTGCTTGACTTGGTGAATTTGTGTTAAGTTACAATCAAAAAAAGTTCAGAACTCAGAAAAATTCTATATCCTTGATTAATATTCTTCACTGTATAGACTTTAATATACTGTAAGAGAAGTTTGTGTAAAATTTGCGTGTCCTTCTCTGCCTCAGTGATCATTGGCAGAACGTGATTGTTCTCTTCCTATGAAGGTGCCCTGCAATTGGGGTAGAAGAATAAGAGAAGAGGAAAGGCTTCCTCTACACATTTTTAATATTTTAATAATCTCTTACAAAAGTGATGTCCGGTAGTTTTAAGATGGAAGAAACAAGTTCTTCTCATTATCAAGTGCTATTTCAGCACTGTTCATTTCTCCAGAGGTGGTTCCTGCTCATCCTGTGATTCACATTCGTGGCTCATCTTAGGGAAGGGCAGTTTCCTTCAGCCAGAAGGGGAAAGAGAGCTCTCTGTATTTAACACCAAATGGGGGTAGTGTGTTCCCTTTTAATTCTCTTTACTAAACCTTTCTTTTTTTATTGTGAGTAAATTAGTTAAGCAAATAAAATATGGATATAGTAATAGTCAGAATATCAAGTTATCAGCTGTCAGTCTACTTAGTGTATTTCTTATACAATTCCTTTACACACTCTTGTTCTTTCACAAGCACACACTTTTCCAGTATAGATCAGTAATTGTAAAGGAATATTTTATTTTAAAGAAATGCTAAGCAAGATTATTCAATAATTTTATATGCAGAGGTGATAGGGGAGCTGTGTCCGATCTTGCTTGTGTGTGCTCTTACTTGCAAAGAGTTTTTTCCCTGATGCAAGGGCTGACACATGAGAATATTTCACACGTCAGAAATAATTTATTCTGGTGAGCAAAATATTCAGCTGGGGTAATGTGCAAGGACTTAGTAAGATAAATTCAGATTGGTGAACATGATCATCAACATGATCAAAAGGAGTCAAGTTGTAGTGATGACCTGGTACATATTTTTTTTCCCTATAGCGGTATACATGTGTATATGTTGATATAACTAAATGGTAATTTTGTCAAATGCTGTAGAAATAGCTGTAGAGAATGAACATGAATTCACACATTTTTTGGGTTTTTCTTGTTCTACTAATTTGTTTAATTAACATCTTTGTTGGTACTTCATGATGACTGAAGCAGTTTTGAAGGAAAAACGCCACTTCCATCTGTTAATCAGAAGTGTTAAAAATAGAATGCCATCTAATCACATGAAATACAATTTCTTGTGATTTGTGATTTGCTTCACAGATTTCCTGGCTGAAGTGGTGGCTTGAAGCTTAAAAAATCAAATTATCTAATTATGTATTATGCTAGTGTGTTGTTATTCCCCCTGCTGCTTTTAAGTTGAAAAATCTGTGATGTTGCTGTGGTTTTGTTCCTCTTACCAGTAGGTTAATTATTACAGTAGTGTGATAATTCAGTTCCTTCTTGTTATAGACAGCTTTTTTTAGTTTCTTAGTGTTTCTAGGTGAAACTTAGGTATTGGGTCTTTGATATATTCTAGCAAAACGCTGTAAACAGAGAACAGTCTTTTAGCCCAATGCAGAATAATGTGGTGGAGTTCATTAATATGCATGAAATGTGACACTCAGTATGATCTAGGCTTGTTTCTGAAATAAGTGTAGTTTCAAATAAGTATAGTTTAAAGTGTTTACATTTTCATTAGTGTATATAGCATAGAGAATTACATTTTTCCACTTTGCCTAGTCTTCATAAAAGGGTATCCCTTGAAGATTGTGCATTTGGGTTAGATAATTTTTACAGTACTAAAGATACAGTAGATACATAATAGTAAACTTATTTTTAGCTGTTTAATCCTTACCCTGAGAGAAATAATTCTCCATTGTCAATGTCTTTCACCCCAGTAAAATGCGTGCTGTGACAAAAGCACAAGGCTATTCCAGTATTAGGGATCTGATAGTACCTGGGATTTTAGTGCAACAGAAATCAAATGCTGAAACCCAGTTAATGGCAGAGAGAATTGCATTGGAGGAGATGAAATTTAGTGGAGCTGAAAGAGGAGGCTGTGGCACGGTGCTGTGAAGTGCTGGGTACGTGTTGTTGCCATAAAGCCGAGCGCAGGCTGAGCTCCCAACAATTCTGTGAGGAGAACGTGTTGGTGCCTGCTGCAGCGCTGAGCGAGAGATCCACCATCCCCAGCAGCACCCTGAACCTCCACAAAATATATTAGGCTTTTATATGCTGTGTAGTTACTATGTAGTAATTAATATTTTGTATAAGGCCTGTGCAATAGCAGAACTTTAATGTTTTTATTAAAGTAGGTTTAAAAGTTTTTACAGGAAAACGTAAAAATGGTTTTGAAGTATACAAATGTCAGGGTATGAATTTTCTTTAGTTCTTAGACAATATCAAAGGAGATGTCTTCAATAGTCCTTATTTTTACATAGTATTTAAAAATCCTCTGAACTTTTCAAGTGAGCAATAGTCTTTATTGGCAGTTGGTAATCTTACTAATATGAATGGCAATTATGTTTAATAATTGGTTTCAGGAGTATCTCTATTTTCACAGGATAATTGTTAAAAGCTGAAAGAGATAGCTTTGATATTTTTTATTAGTATCATCAAAAGTGTTACAGAGGTCTTTTTTGTGACAGGAATTTTTCAGTATTCTAAGTTTAATCCAGATATGGTTTTGAAAAGAACCTTATTTGTCTTCCTGGTTTCTGATCCCATTTGGGAAATAAATTTTCTTGCATTTGCAGTTATAGATCTGATACGTACTGTCAGATTTTCATTTGAATTTTAGGATGTAATTGATGCACAAACACATCTGAATTTCACCTTGAACATTTTTCCCTGGATCTGCAAAATTATTAAAAAAATTATAAATAACTCAGTTGGGATGGAGTTATGTCTTTCTGCAGCTTCCTGAGGAGGGAAAGTGGAGAGGGAGGTGCTGATCTCCTGGTATCCAGTAACAGGATGTGGGAAGGGTTCAAAGCTTTGTCAGAAGTTTAGGCTGGCCACTAGGAACCATTTCTTTACTTGAGAGGGTGGTCACATACTGGAACAGACTTCCTAGGGAAGTGGTCAATGTCCCAAGCCTGTCAGTGTTTAAGAGGAATTTGGGCAATGCCCTTAAAACCATGCTTTAACTGTTGGTTGAGCTGTGGTCAAGCCGTTGGAGTAGATGATTGTTGTAGGACCCCTCCTACTGAAAGAATCTATCCTGTTTCTAAAGAAGTAAGTTCTGGTTTTCCAGCCTTACCTTCTTCCCCTTACAATGGAAAATCAAGTAATTTTATTTAACAGTGATGTTGCTTCATATTTTCATGGTTTAAAACCAAAAGTGTATATAGTAAAAGACATAATAAATGACATAAACTTTTTTTTTTTTTTTTTTTTTTTTTTTTGGGTAGAAATCAAACAGGGTAGGATTTCAGTGTAGGTATTGAACATCAGCTTTGCTGTATAACTCATTATCTCTTCATTTAATAGTCTATGTTAAATTGATTTAAGCACCTTAGGCATCTTAATCCTTTGGCCAGTGAATTTTATTGCTGGCTGTATTAGAGACTGTTTGCATATAGTTTCAAATTTGAGAACTGAGATTCTTGATAGCAGGACATACTTATTTTCCTGATTGCCTAGGTGATATGCCTGTGCAGCTTGGAAAACAAATGGCTGTGGTTGTCATTTGTCTCCAAAACAGGCATGTGAAACTAACAGTGCAGTGACCTGTGAATGGTCAACAGAACTGGTTTGATGCATTGCAGGTAGGTACAAGGTCTCCTTGGTTAGTCATTGCATTTTTTAGAGTTGGTGCTTTGATAGCAGAAAAAATGAACTGGGAGAATTAAAAATGAAAATAGATATTTAATAACAGGGAAAGTTACATTGTGGGAAAAGATGAGCCATTACGAACTGAAGCAAAGAATATATTTTCATTGTCTTGGTTTGTCACAATATAACCAGACAAACTTTAAAACTGGCAAAGATATTTTGGGTTGCATGTGTGTTTCTTTTGATTGACATAGATTGTTTTAAGGATGGAAGATGCTGGGTTTTTATGAACTGCAAGTTTACCTACTTAAACTTCTTGCTCCAATTGCCATTTCCTTAATCTTTTCATGAGATGGGAGCTTTGATCTTTTGATCTTTTCAAAATTACTTCCCTAATGACTAGGTTATGACATTCTTGAAAGAGCTACTGCAAGTAGGTACAATCTGCACCTCCATCCAGGAGCTGTGACAGCACTGAGTGTCTCTTAAAACTATCATTAGAGGCTCAGAATTGGTTCTTGTTTCTTCGCTCTTCAGCTGCATTGAGTTGCATTCGGCATCTTGCACTGTCACTGAATGCCGTTTCCAATGCTTTTGTATTAAAATTTACCATTTTGCTATGGCTTGAAGTGCAGTGATAGTTATAGGTACCTATCTACTGTGAATACTACTTTAGCAGCTGTGTTAGCAGTTTGAAAGTGTGATAGCTTGCCTCACTTACTGAAATGAAAACTCTGCAAATTTTCAATGACTTTATATTCTCAACAATTGAAAGACATTTAAATTTAGTGTTTGGTAGCAGAAATGTACCCATTAGTCTCTAGAGAAGTGCAGATGTAGTTTATATTGGGTTTGTATTTCATTAGAGCAACCTCTCTGGCAATGCAGTCCTGACAGATCTGTGAGATGAAGGCATTCCTCTTTGAAATTATACCTGCTTTCTTCAGATATGAAGTGGTAATTTTCTAAAATATGAAGAAATATTAAAATCCTATTTTGTACTGCCGCTGTTTGTGTGCTCCTTGCAAATAGGGATCAGGAGGTGTGTATTGGTAATTATAATGAACAATCTTTGCAACTCCTATTTTGCTTGTTTACTGGCAAAGCAATTTTAAAATAACAAGGTAATTGTTACAGTTTCCTAATCACACTGTGAGTAATATATTGCCTCCAGAAACCCAAGACTTGTCTGTGGTTGGGAAAGTCTTTGAAAAAGTGGATGCTAAAGGAAAATGTGTGACCTAAATTTTTCATTGCAGTTCTACTGTTCAGACAAGAACAGCGTGACAACTGTGTGCACTGAAGAAATGCCAAAATGGGGTGAAATGTGAGCGTGAGACAGGAGGGAAGATGTTTGGGATCCTAGACTTCAGGTGTTCTTATCCATATATATATATATCTATACAAATGTGGATGCAAATATTTTGTGTGTGTGTGTGTATAGATGTATGTACATGCACAAACACACATACATTTATAAACAAATCAATTCATAGGTGACTGTAATCTGTAATCATGATAGTCAATAAGATTTAAATTTCTTTTTTTTAAATTTGATTTCCCAATTTGTCCTTGAAGATTTTAATGAAGAAGGCTGCATCCTAGATTTCATTACTTAATTCAGTGCTCTTGCTTTTACATGTTAATTCAGCTTCTGGCTGTAAGTTTGAGTAGAGTTTTTAGAACTGTATAAATATTTTGCTTTTTTAGGATCAATCTTACTAGGTGTGCATTTATATTACAAAATTGGTGTACAGTAATTAATCGTGTTTGATAACAGGAGTAGCATTCCATTCTTTATAAATTTTATCTCACTAAATGTGGGGGAAACCTGAAGGAGTTACATAACTTAAGACATGTTATTTTCTGTGAGCTGCTTTCTCATCGGTGACTTAAGGGCTGAATAAAGTTATCCCTGTTTGTCAAAACATTAATTATAATATTTTGTAAGACATTTTAAGAAAGGCATGTCTTTCAGGGATGCAGTTTTCCCTTCTTTAGCTTTAGTAAGGGGATATATTAAATAAGACGAGATTTGGCAATCATTTACATCAGGTCATGCTGATAACACACACAGTGATTTTTCATCTTTGAAGCATTACAGCCTGTTTTATTATTAATCTGACTTGGTTTTTTTGTTTATTTTGTGTTTTTGAAAGGAATAGAGGATCAGTTCAAGTTAAGTTCATACATCTCTGCTTCTTGTGAGGATTATTGACTAATGGGAAGCATAAAACCATGAAACCAGCATTTAAGCAGAAGATGCAGAATGTCATTATACAGTGAAAGCTGGGAATGGTTTATGCCATGATGAACTCATTTGGTCAGGCTTGGAGGGACACTGAGAGTGAAGAGGGATCAGGAGCCTGTAGTGCTAGCAGGAAGTTCTGGAAATCCAAGTTTATGTCTTCTGTGGCTCACCCTTGACTGTAAACTGTGAAGATACAAGAGATGCTCTCTTACCTTAGAAAATAAAAAGAAATAAATTTAAGAACAATTAGTGCTCAAATAACAGTTTCTAAAAAAGAGGGAATTGTATTTTTGTTTCTGACTGCAACATATAGTGCAAAGGAGAGCTTAGGTAATTCTTAATGAAGGTTGAGGATTGTTTCTGTGGTTTCGATGGCTGAAAATTTAAGCATACATAATTGTTTAATGGTCCATTTTTTCTTCTTTTTTCTGTTGGATTTTTTTTGTTTTCCACTCAGTGGATCTATGGTAGAAGTGAAACTGTGTAGTAATTTGAATGTTTGCAGTAATGAGTACGAGAGGAAATCCTCGATATATTGATAATAGTGTTTGCAGAGCAGACTTGGAAGAGTGTTTTCAGAGAAGAAGGCTTATATCCTACACCTGAAGGCTACAGAAAAAAAATAAAATTTTGACTTCAGTAAGAAAACACGACAATTTTGCGAACTGAGGCAAAGTCTACATGGAAGCAAACTCTTCAGTCGTGTTAGTAATAGTTGCTTTGTTGGATGTAAACCCAAGGTGATAGAATTAAAATCAGAGAACAGTAGAAAAGACCTTTAAAATAATGGATTAAGGTGGGAGTTGGCACATATTGGTCTGCTATAGTTTTTCTTCTAAAATTTCTTTAAGTAAAAAGTTTGCAGAATTTGGTACTGTTCACTGAACATCTGCAAAGACCTTCACTATTTGGCCTTTTGCAGTTAAATTCCAGCACAACAGAATGTAAAGTCTCAAAGTGAAAAATGTTGTTCAGTTTTTACAGTTGATCTATCAATTTGATCTGCAGTATATTAGAATGATAAGTATATTGAATGAGCTGACATTTATTCTTGGTTGTGTTCTGTAGCTGCTTTCTAGGGGATGCATTTTATCAGGCTTTAAAAAAAAAAGAGGATAAATCCCAAGGGCATGGCCAGTGTCATCCATACTTATGGTAGCACCTAATTTTATATTTCAGGAGCGTTTGCATTAGTTACTGAAAGCTAGTTGCTATTCCTTGCTGCTTTTTAATAGGTTAATAATTTGTACTTAATTATATAGATCAGTATTGGCTGAGCATACAGCGGTGTTGTAATTGAGTTACTGTAAATTTTGGTATGAAATTTTTTCAACAGCAATTAATCCTTAATTCTGAAATAACACTCATCTTTGTGTCCTGCTTTTCATGTACAAGAGCTGTAGCTGTAACTTCTCCCTGTAGAGATGGGTGAATTTGTCCTATATGTGGTGAATGCATTTTCATGAAACAAGATGTGTAACGTGTTGTTTAACAGTTTATTGTGAAACGAAGCCAAACATTTTGCTTATTGATCAGAAATGTAAATTGTTTCTTAACGTGAAAGCCATGGAGGGGAAGAGCATTGCCGTCAAAAATTGAAGTGTTGAAGTGTTTTGGAGATTCCTGGGGCCGCTAATGATGCTATTTTGATTTTCTTTGTTTTTCCTTTTTCCTCACAAAGGGAATCTATACTGAGTCACTATATCAGGAAACACATATTAGGGAAACTATACTGAATTATTACAGGAAATACATTAATAAAGTAATGTATTTTTATTATTTATAATAATAAACTGCAGTGTTTCCTGTTGGGGAAAAACAAAACGAAACTAACATTTAGTTATGCCTGGCCAAGATTTTAGGATGTGCTTAAAGCATGTGGCAGTATTGACTGAATTAATTCCAGAAGACAGCAGTTGGCAAGCCTTAAGTCTGCTCTGATCGTGGACAGGCAAACGATTTCTTCATTCAGTTAATTGCTTTGGAAGAAACAAGATGCAGGATAAACAAGTGAGCTCAGTTTGTTTTTCTACCTGAAATGATGGCTGCCTGCTCTCTCTTTGACAGAGAATGGCTGTGTTTTGGGGATTTCTTCTGAGGCTTTTCTTGTCTGTTGTTAATAGCTGTGTAATATAGGGCTGGATTTCAGCCTTGATGCCTAATACAGAGTAATGTCAAAACTTAAACTGACATACAACATTTTCCTTAGAATTCAGTGCACATTCCCAGTCCATAAACCAACTGTAAAGTATCTGTCAAGAGAAAATTTATAGCACTATAACTTCATGTCTGTCACACACACTCTTTTGTTCACGTACTGTGCTGATGTTGTGTATTCTGAATTTGGCAAAGCTGGTTCTGAACCAGGAATGTAAGGACAGGTCTGGTTTCATGTTCACTACATATCTGAAGAAAACCCAAACCTTCCATTACAGGAGTTTAACATGAAAAAATAGTTCTGTGTATTTCTAGTTGTCATTGCAAATTGCTGGCATGAGTGGCTACTTTGGCCCTTAAAAAGCTATGAGCTGGTAGCCATGAGAATGATTTGCAGTGCATTTTACACTGAGTTTGGCATTAGTTATTAAAAAGACTCTCCTTGACTCCTGTGATACTTATCAGAGTGAAAACCCTAATAAATGGAAGTGTTTTCAAGGCTTACTTAGATAAGTACCTTGATTTTCATAAAGACTGGAGTTCATAGTGTTCCGTGGAGTCAAGGCTATTTGTGCTTAAAAGAAGTACACTGCTTCCTGCATTAGTCTGACAATCTCTGAGTCAGGAAAGGATTTCCTAGAACATGCAGGGAATACTGGGCAAAGTGAGCACTGTCAGGCTGGTAAGTTAAGTGTGCTAAGGGATGGAAGTACACCTATAAATAGGAAACCAATCTGTAGAAAATACATTAAGATCTTGGGGAGAGAGGATCTTGGAGGAGAAATCTAATGGGGGATACTGAAGAAAAGTGATGCATTTGAAATAGCACCTAAATAAAAAGAAAGGTCAAGAGTGAGAAAAGGCCTGTTGGGCAGGGGTGTTTTGTTTGAAGACTGTAAATTACATAAATTAGAAATTAGGAGCTGGTGATGCCCTGAAATGTAGGTTGTGTTGGTTATAGTTGCATCTGGATTTGTTTTATTCTGCTGCCTAGGGAAGAAATAATACATGTTAACAATTTTGTAGGGTGAAATATTTGCATTTATTACAGTCCTTGGAAATTCTTCAGCTGATTAGAATAAAGTATTGGCAGGCGAAGAGAAAGGAGAAGGGCAGGGAAAAGCCTCAATGTCCATTTGTACAAAGTCACACTCTTCTTAGGTTTAATTATACAGTTGTTTTTTTTTTTTATTTTATTTTTGGAAAGCAATATATTAAATCTTTGAGTTTACTTTGAAACTCTCTGAAGATTTATCTGAATGGAAAAATTTCTGTGTCCCTCTGTGAGCTTTAGAATGGGGTCCTGTACATGCATTTGCTTTTTTAATTTCTGGAGAGTCCATAGCTCACAATTCTGCTGCTGTGCTTAATCACTCTCTATTAAACATGGTGCCTGTTGTGCAGTATATGTAGCTTTTTAGATAAGAGATTTTGAAATTAAATCCCTGAAAATATATAACATGTGTCATTCAGGTGTTAGGCAAACTCTCAGAGTTGTGTGTGTACCTGTATGTAGCAATATTAAGAACATTATTTAAATGGTGAATTTCAAGAAAACTGAACACTGAGTTGTTTTTTATTTCAGTTCACAGGAAAGCAAAAAATAGGTCATGTAGGAAGAAGAAAGTCTAATAAGATAAATCTTTAATATTTGAAATTCAGGAAAACCACTAAGTGGCATAGAATTTTATTTTTAATTTCAAACTCATTAGTTTTTACAAAATGGCCTTGAATAAAATTATCCTAAAGGGACTGTCTTATACTGTCTTGTGAGCTGATAGACTCAAATGAAGGCTTTTTCTCCATCTCACAACCTATTTTAGGGCTGTTGTTGAAAGGACATTGATAGTAAGGATGATGATTCCACTTTTTGTGGCACTAATCCATAGCAGAAACAGTTCACTCTGAAATTCCACTTGAAAATAAAGTAAGACTCCTACAGCCAAGCAAAGGACTTCCAGCTCTAGATTACTTAAAAGCATGGCTTCTTTCCACAGTATCAGAATTAGAGAGGCAAGCCAAGTGAATGATGAAACAAACCATCTTTTCTGTGTTGAAATGAATATGAAAAGACATTATAAATCATAAATACCATATATAAAATAAAACCTTTTCTTATGGCCACATGTTAAGTTTACCACAAAAAAAAAAGAAAAAAAAAAAAGGACTCTACTTCTAGGATATGTTTTTATCATTTTTATTACTAGGTTTAGGAGACTTACATAGCCATTCAGATAAGATGAAGACCCAGGGAGAGGAAGAACAGCAAAAATGAAAAACAAAGCTTGAAGATTAGCCCTTTTCCTGAATTATAAGTGACGGCGATTAAAATGTCAGACAGTCTTGATAAACTGCTTTGTGTTCATAATCAGACTACTTCATGAAAATTTGAGTTTTTTTGAACAAACAGGAAGAAATGGAACAATCAACCACATGAAAACCAGTATGTGTAAATGATGATTTTATGACACCCTTCATCAGAAGTTCACTTTAGAATGCCTTATTGATAATTGTGTGGAAAGGAAAACTGCCTAGATATGCACAGTCAGACAGTTCTACTTCCCCACTAAATTTAGATTTTTCTTAATTTTTTTTTTTTAATTCAAGTGTATGAATTTCCATCATCACCCTTATTTCATGAATTTGTTACATTTTGGAAGAAACTAATTTTCTTTGGGCTATTTTCTACTTTTTCTAATTCACTTATTTTTTCTGCTTGTTTTTTTTCTTTCCTCTTTTTTTTTTCCTTATTATTTGAGGACTCTAAATTTAGGTAAACCATCGCTCCTCTGTAGAAAGATCCATCACTAAGGCTTCTTCCAGTAAGTGAGGGTCTTTATATCTGTAGAGCCAATGGTGCATCTCATATCTGATCCTGTAATGCAGAAAAAATAGGCAAAGCCCATACCCCCTTCTTTTTCGCAGGTCCGTTGTATCCCTATTACAGAATCCTCTGCAAAATCAGCCTGAAAAGGTCTCAAATGTTCTGGTATATAATTTCTCCTTATATAATTTCACCTGGAGGTGCAATTCAGTGCATCTAATATTAAGAATCTAAGTTCCCCATCTTCTTAATAATTTGAGGTACAGGCCTTGATGGTTAAAAGTAGCTGAGAGAGATGCATTCATTTGGCACAATAAACTCTATTTTGAGCGTTTCAAATATAATCCTGCTATGTGTGACTGAAATGGGCAATTGTGCTTTCTACTTCATTGGACTGCATTTGTTTTCCTATGAGCTCTACTGGTGTGAAGTAAGCATTGTGCAAAGTTAAAACTGTATTTGTGGTCTAAATGTAGAATTGGCATTGTACTAACTAAATTGTTTGCTAAAGCTGATTTGCCTAAATCCATGTAGCAAGCCCTAGGACTGTGCTTCAATCAGTTAAAGAGTGCCCAGTACTCATTTAGCTTAGTTTGGCTTCCAAACCAATTTTCTCCCACTTAACAGAATGTACTAGAGGCTATCTCTGATGTAAATAAGTTAATTTGCAAATCAGTTTAGCTAAATTGGAGAAATTTCTCTGTGATTTCTGTAAAGGTCGCTTGTGATATGAAGGTGTTCTGACCCTCGTAAGATATCCCAGGAAACCAGTGTTGCATGCCTTGAGCTATCAGTTCTGGTTCTGACTGCCTGAGATGTCTGAGGCACACTTACTTTCAGAATGCAATGGTTTTCTTGAAATTGAAGTATTTGAGTGAAATCAGGTTGAACTCTTATCTACTTCTGAGACACTCATTGGTTGTGTTTAGTGCTTTTGTTTCTCCAGTCCTTGCTGTAGCCTCTTACAGATGTAGATTCCATATATGTGCAGACTGTTGTTGCTGCATGTCTGCACGTATTTGGCTTTTGTGCTTTGGATTGCACAGCATGAGCCCTGGTAGGGAGAGTAATGAGTTCCTAATGCAATTCACTGTCATGTTTGCGACCTCATCAAAGTCTAGCATATTTTAGGGAGCTTGGATGTTCTTTTTTCATCAAGTCAGTAACATCATCTTTATTCCATTCTAGCCTGTCTTCTTAATGTTAGTGTGGAAGAACTGCGACAGCTGCCAGCATACTTTATTGCAATTTATAACATCACGTAACCACCAAGTGATGTTTTTTTGCTCCTCACATTGGTGCTGAATTCCCTCCTCGTTTGCTGTGCCCCTCAAATGTACAACAGAGCCATTGAATTCTCTTGGGTGTGCTGTGGCTGCATGAACCCTGTTGAGGCAGTCCTCTAAATCTCTTACTTCAATCTTGGTGATTTCCATTCCCCTTGGCACACCCCACTTTCTGCATTTCCAAGGCAGGGAGCAGAGGCTGGGATGGCTGCACCACATGGAAGGAGTTACATGAGGATAGGATTTGTTCAGAATCAGCAGGGAAATACTTGCAATAAATTGCAGGCTTGTGTTTTTGGGGTGGATTGCACAAGGGGGAGGATCACAGGCCTGTTTGTCCTCTACATGGGGGGCAGTGAGAACAGTAGTGACAGACAGGGTAGACCTGTGGAGGTCCATGCAGGTGCTGCTTTGGTTTTGTTTCTTCAGGCCTTTTTTGGTGGCAGGGACAGAACAAAACACTAACAACCATAAAA